CCCTTCCGAGGGGTGCAGGGTGGCGAGGAGATCGCGGCTTCTGGGGGGGCTCGGCAGGGTCAGGGCCCTAGTCCAGGGGATACTCCTCTGAAGAGACCGGGGAGGTCTGCCAGGGACTCGGCGGGCTGGCCTCTGCCTCCGGCCGGCGCCTCTTGCAGCTGCGGGGTTCCCCGCGGGGCTCCCAGGGCTCTGTGCCCCAGCTCAGCGGGGACTCTGCCGAGGGCACGGGGGAGGTCTGCCAGGGCCCCTCGGTGTCCGGGGGGCTGGCCTCTGCTTCCCGCCGGTGGCTCGGCGGGGTGCAGGGTGGCGAGGAGCCCGGGGCCATGGGTGAAGCCAGGGAAGATCCTGGCCCAGCACCTGGCGGGCTCGGCGCTGGGGCTGATGCTTCCTGCGTGGGCCGGGCCCAGGGACCCAGAAGCCTGGGGATGGTTGGAGAATAGCTGGGGTCCTCGGGAGAGTCCCAGGGGGCTGCCGCTGACGCCCTGCGCAAGACATGGGGGAACTCTGCCACGGACCGCTGGTGTCCCAAGGACTGTCTTCTGACTCCCCGCGGGGTCTGGGAGGCGTGCTGGGCGACGAGCAGCTGGGGCCCGCGGACGACTCCACGAGGGGAGGGCGCGAAGGACTCGGCGACGACAGGACGAACATATGATACCTCGTGGTGAAGCCAGGGGACAGCAAGGACACCACATGGGAAGAAGCTGACGGTGAGCCCCCTGAATCCGGTGGTGACTGCCCTGTGGTCTCTCGTAGGGAAGCGGGAAATCCAAGGAGGGCGCTGGAGGTAGAACCGCCCAGGTGCTCGGCCTGGGGGTGGAGGGAAACTGCCCCTGCGGTGCCCCTGCTGAGGCGTCGCCTCTGCAGCCTGAGAGGCCGGGGGAGCCCGGCCCACCTTGAGGGTAGTGAAGGCCAGAGGACGCTCGGGGACGAGAGACGTCCATTGTGCCTGTCTCCTCACGCGCCAACTGCAGAAAACCTTTGACTTGTAGGGACACCCTGACCCCACACCCCTTTTCCTCCTTCTTCTCCTCCTCCACCGCCCTCGACCAAAATGGGGGATGAGGTATGTGTAGGTGTGTGCGCGTGCGCAGCGTGTGTCGGGGTAGCGGTTCCCTGAATGCGTAGGCGAGCGCCTGAAGGGTCAAGGATGGAATGCCTCCCACTCCCCCAGTGGGCGGGGGTTGAGAGGCCAAAGGGGTGGAGCCTCGGCCCTGGCCTCCGCCCACGCATGAAGGACTGCACTCTCCTGGCCACCGACCAGCGGAGAAGGCTCAAATTGTCCCCCACCGGAAGCAGGGAAATTCTGGAGGACCTGGATGGGTAATGGCCTAGGATGCGTGCCCTGACCTGTTCCCCCAGAGGGTGTGGTCCGCAGCAGTCCTGCTAGAGAGAGGCTACTCTTGTTTGCCTGGGGATATGCCAAAACTTCCTTCAAGCTTCAACCGCACCGTGCCACCCCATCCCGCTTACTAAGCTCGGTCAAAGCGCCCTATGGCCTAGGGCATCATTTTTGAGAAAGAACAACTTGTCTCCCCTTCCCACCCCACTCCAGCCCACAAAGCATCCGAGAAGGGCAGCGTTGAGAAGGGAAGGGTTGAGGAGGGTGAGTGGAGGCAAGAGGAGCCTGGCTGTGAGTGGTGGTCCTGCCGGGCGCAGTTGCCGATGCCGCCCTGGACTTGCAGCTGCAGCAGTGGAGCGGAAGGACCGCGGGATCAAGCAGGTCAGGCTGGGCTCAGTGCACTGTGCCTCCCCCCCAAACCGAGAAGAGTTGAAGTGAGGTAAGGCCCCTGGCAGAGATGGGAGCTGCGCCCTGGTCATGGGCACCAGGGTTCCCAAGCATGAAGCCTTTTGGCAAGCACCCGAAGTGTCCAGGGCAAAGGAAAAGTGCGTGGGCGCCGACGAGCTGCTGTGTCCGCCCAAATGCGTTTTCTCCTCCCACCTCTCACAAAGAAGACGCTTTCCTGCGTGGTGCAAGCCACACGGCTGAACCTGGAGGAGACCGATACGGGGGGAAAGAAGCCAGTCCCCGGAGGGCTGTGCCTCCAGTGGGGCTCGTTCCTCTGACCCACGCCTCCTCATTCAGGCCGGGACGCGCCGTTGGCTGGGATGTGGGGCGGGCGGATGGATGGATGACACGGAGATCAGCTAGCCTGGCCTCTCCTTGGGCCTGGCCTTGAACCTGGCTTGGCGGTGCTCAGGCTTTCCCTGATAGCTCTTTTGGGAAAGGATCCGCCTGCAACGCAGTAGGCCCCGGTTTGATTCCCGTGTTGGGAAGATCCGCTGGAGAAGCGAGAAAGCTACCGCCTGGCCTCCAGAACGAGTCCACGGGGACGCAGAGCATCTTGGACAGGACGGTGTGTACATGCATGCGTGTGTGCGCATGGGTGCCCGAAGCGCAGTGGGGGAATAGACCTTTTGCCCTGGCATGATCATGGGGCGGGATGCAGTGTCACTAGGGCGGGTGGCTCCAATTCTGTCTTTCCTCCTCTTCGGATCAGTTACCAGCCCACTGGAGGGGCAGGGGCGGCAGGTGAGGAGGGGGCGGCAAAGAATCCCGTGGAGCGAGTGGACTTTCACGGGCACGCCGGTGCCACAGAACCCCAAGGTCCACGTTGGGCTTGGTGGGCCGTTGGGGGGGCTTTGGTGTGAGGTCCTGCCCTGCAGCAGGTGGGATCAAGCCCAGGCTCGGGGGCCCTGTGCAGTGCACAGAGTCCTAACCGCCGGGGAATTCCCCGAGGTCCCTTTGAAGGTGCCGCCCACGCCCCCCTTCCCAGCCTGCCTTGCCTCGCCAAACTCTCTGGGTTTGCCCGCCTTTTCACGTTCCACACAGACCTTGGCCTCAATTGCCTCCGCAGGCTCCTCCCAGGCATTCCTGGACACTGGAGGCTCTCTCCAGTGCCTCCACATAGATTCCTCGCATTCCTTGCCTCCCTTGCCCACGTCCCTCCCCAACTCCTCCGTGCCCTCCGGGCGTCCTTTCTGGACAGCAGTCCCAGTCCACCACGCCCCCAGGCCTTTGAGTTGCCGGGAGCTCAAGTCTACTGCCAGAGACGTGATGGGCCCCAGCGTCTCCAATGGCAGCTCACGCCATCTGGGGCTTCTTCAGGTGGAGCCTGATGCCCGCATCCCCCCAGCCCACCCCCCACCCCGAGTACCCTGGAGAGACCCTGGAGAGGGGAGAGTGGGCCCCCTAATCTTAGGAAGGAGGTTGCACTAAGCCAAAGAAGGAAGCAAGCACATTCTGGACAGAACGAAGCCCTGTGCTGTGCCATCAACGGGACATGGAGAGAGTGTGCTTTCTTCAAGAGACGGAAGGCAAAGAAGAGAAGGAGGAGGTAATCAGGAGGCAGGAGCAGACAGAGAGGCAAGAAGGCTGCGAGAAGCAACACGGGGCATGGACGATGAGCGGCACTTCTCCTTTCACTCTGAACAGGTCCCAAAGAATTGCAAAGAAACGAACGGAACCACAACACCACACACGCCGCCATCCTTAGCAATGTATTCTTTGGCCACCCAGGTTTCTAGACCCAGCCACGGGTTTCCATGAGAACAGTCAGGGCTTTGTATGGACTTCAAAACCTTTGGATTTGCAAGGAAATAATGTCTGTATGTCACCGAGTGGTGGGGGGATGCTGGTGGCAGGCCGAGCTCAGCCACTGCACTCTGAGGGTCAGAGAGACACACGGAGATGATTGGCCTTTGCAGCTATGCTGGGCATGTGTGTTCACATGGAGTCTGGTCGTGAAAGCAGTTGTGTGGGTAGGTCCCTACTGCTGGCTCAGAGGATCAGTCCAGCTCTAGTGTATGTCCCCAAAGTTGCTGGTAGTCATCCCGTCTGTTTGTTCCCCACCCCCCCCCACTCCCCCACATAAAATCTTCCCTACCCCACGACCTCCGTGGCTCGGCCTCCGAAGCAAGGAGACCTGCAAGGGGCTCAGGGGAGATGGTGCCCCTTTCCTTCTTCTCCCTCTAAGCCCGAGGGCCTGGGGAGCCTGGCAGCATGTCCAGGAGTGCCTGGTAATCCTCCTCACTGAGGGGTGCCTCCAGGATTGCCTCAAGTCCTTCTTCCTCCGCAGTGGCCCGCGGTGAAGACCAGGGCGTGTCCTGGATGGACGAGGCAGCCATGATTTCCTCTAGGAGACTGGGAGACCCGGGGAGGGCTGGATGGTACCCTGGGATGACAGGAGAGGACCCCAGGGAAGGACCCGGCGAGCCCGGGATGCATTTGACGGCCAGGAGCTCATCTTGGAGGCTGGGTGAGCCTGGGAGGGCGAGGTGTGCTCCTGCATCTGCAGAGGACCCCAGGGAAGGGCCCATCGTGTCCAGAACACCAGTGGCCGGCAAGAGCTCGTCAAGGAAGCTGTGTGCGCATGGGAGGGCAGGGTGCACTTCTGCATCAGCAGCGGCCCGCAGGGAAGGCGCCTGTGAGTCCGCAAAGCCCGTGGCCTACAACAGCTGGTCTAGAAAGCTGGGTGTGCCTGGGAAGGCAGGGTTTGCTCCAGCATCTGCAGCGGCCCTAGGGAAAGGTGGCTACCAGTCCACAATACCCGATGAATGCAAGAGCTCGTCTAGGAAGCTGGGTGGGCCTGGCAGGGCAGGGTGTGCTCCTGCATCTTCAGCGGCCCCTGGGGAAGGCGCCTGCGAGTCCCCGAGGCCCGTGGACTCCAAGAGCTCGTCTAGGAAGCTGATTGCGACTGGCAGGGCAGGGTGCGCTCCTGCATCTGCAGCGGCCCCTGGGGAAGGTGCCTGCCAGTCTGCGATGCCTGTGGCTTCCAAGAGTTCGTCTAGGAAGCTGGGTGCGTCTGGCAGGGCAGGGGGCACACCTGCATCTGCAGTTGCCCCCGGGGAAGGCGCCTGCGTTTCCGGGATGCCCGTGGCCTCCACGAAATCTTCTAGGATGCTGGGTGTGCCTGGGAGGGCAGGGTGCGCTCCTGCATCTGCAGCGGCCCCCGGGGAAGGAGCCTGCATATCCGCGATGCCCGTGGGCTCCACGAACTCTTCTAGGATGCTGGGTTCGCCTGGGAGGGAAGGGTGCACTCGTGCATCTGCAGCGTCCCCCGCGGAGGTGCCTGCGTTTCCAGGATGCCGGTGGCCGCCAAGAGCTCATCTAGGAGGCTTGTCGATCTTGGAAGGCTGGGCGGATGGGGCTGTGGCTCTAGCGGAGGGGCCGTGCCGTCAGCAACGGGTGACTCTGGCCTCCGCCTGATGTGTGTCTCAGGCTGTAGAGGCGGCAGGATAGCCCCTGGCCCAGGCTGCCAAGGGGCCGTGTCAGCAGGGGAGCACGCGGCCCAGGGCACTGCTACCTGGGGAGGAGGTGGTGGCTTCTCACTTGGCTGGAGAGCCATCGGGCTGGGCTGGATCACGAAGAACATCAACGGCTGGCCCACACAGAGCCCAGAGGCAGTCCCGGGCACCCAGAAGGTGGGGGCGCCCAAAGGAGCGGCTGCAGCCAAGGGTGGAATGCTCTCCTGTGTCTGAGAGGGGCCAAGGGGAGGAGAGGTGCTGTGGACAGCGGGTGGGGCCCTTCGGTCCTCTGGAGCAGGAGCGGTCGTGGCCGATGCGCCGCCTGGTCCTCGGGCCCGGACATTGCCAGGCCCCCTTGCGCTCTGCTGGGGGTGCCGAGCTCTTCGGTTTTGAAACCATATCTAGGGGAGCAAAAGGCAGACAGGCACATCAGAAGTCGTGACCGTCCAGAACAACGAGCTGGCGCCTCCGAGGCACCCATTTGTCACCCCACCTGGCCGCCCGTCCTCTGATCTGGCGGGCCCCGGGCGAGTTCTGCAGGGCCATTTTCTGCAAACGAATCCCTGGGCCCTGGGAAATGAGGGGCGCCTGCACGGCAACAAGCGGCACAAAACCCACCACTCAGCCCACCAAATTTCCGGTCCCTCCCCCCAGCCCAAGCCCTGGCCCAAGCCAGGTGTATCCAGTTCCAAACGCTTGGCAGGGCTGAACGCGCCCGTCTCCTGGGCCACGGCCTGGGCCCATGCGCTGACTGGAGAACTTACCTTGATTCGAGGTTCTGGGATTCCCGTCTGTCGAGCCAGTTCTTCCCTGGCGGCAATCCCCGGAAAGCGATCCCTCGTGAAGGCTTGCACAAGGATGCTTGTTTGAGAAGGAGAGATGGCTGTCCTCTTTCTCCTGGCCTCTCTGGCCGAGTCTTCTACCAAGGAAAGAACACACCGAGAGGAGAGGACTTTAAGGCCCATGGAACCTTGACAGCACAGATACCCTAGACGGTGTGCAGGGGCTGGACAGTCCCACACACCTGAATCACTTCAGGTGGCTCTGCAGCCGGGGCGGGGTTCTACGGAATACACCCACAGACGGATCGCGTGCCTGGATCCATGGTGCAGGTGTGGGTGCACACTCGCNGTTCTTCCCCGGGGGCAATCCCCGGAAAGCGATCCCTCGTGAAGGCTTGCACAAGGATGCTTGTTTGAGAAGGAGAGATGACTGTCCTCTTTCTCCTGGCCTCTCTGGCCGAGTCTTCTACCAAAGAAAGAACACACCAGAGGAGAGGACATTAAGGCCCATGGCACGTTCATGGCATAGATAGCCTAGACGGTGTGTAGGGGATGGAGAGTCCCACAGAGACCGACTTAGCCCCACACCTGAATCACTTCTAGGTGCCTACGCAGCTGGTTCAGGGTTCTAAGAAATATACCCACAAATTGATCACATGCCTGTATCCATCGTGGATGCGTGTGTGCGCGCACACACACACACACACACACACACACTCCACACACATCCATGTCCCTGTGTGTCTCTTTCCTCCTCCTGTCTTGCCGTGGAGTGCCCTGAAGCATGCTCCTCGGCCAAGGTTGCCTGAGCAGGCGGAGGCTAAAGTTCCCGGGAGGGGGCGCAAAGAGGGAACAGTGCTGCCCATTCATGCGACTGGGGGCATGGTGCCCCTATCTGGGACACTGATGGGGGCAGCAACCAGATGGCCCTGTTTCCTCCCAAGCCTCTAGCAAAGTCTTCTCTAGTTGAGATGTATAGGCTGTAGTGTGCAGGCTCAGTAGTTGTGGCCCCACAGGCTTAGCTGCCATGTGGCATGCGGGATCTCAGTTCCCCAACCAGGGTTCAAACTCTTGTTCTTTTCATTGGAAGATTGGTTCTTAACTACTGGACCAACAGGGGAATCCCCATGGTCACACATTTTTAATAGCAATAATAACAGTGTTAGTGTTGATGACTTTACATATTTGGGGGTCTTATAGAAGACAAAAGGATTAATACACTTTTTGGATAGCACTAACTTATTTAAGCCCTTTCAAGGATCACTGCTGTGTCATGGTGAAGAGACTTGCATAATTCAATGAACCTATGAGACATGCCAAGCATGGCTACCCAAGATGGATGGGTCATAGCAGAGAATTCTGACAAAACATGATCCACTGGAGGAGGGAACGGCAAACCACCTCAGTAAACTTGCAGTGAGAACCTCATGAATTGTATCAGTTCAGTTCAGTCGCTCAGTCATGTCTGACTCTTTGTGACCCCATGAACCGCAGCATGCCAGGCCTCCTTGTTCATCACCAGCTCCTGGAGTTTACCCAAACTCATGTCCAATGAGTCGGTAAAGCCATCCAACCATCTCATCCTCTGTCATCCCCTTCTCCTCCTGCCCTCAATCCCTCCCAGCATCAGGGTCTTTTCCAATGAGTCAGTTCTTCACATAGAGTGCCCTGAAGCATGCTCCTCGGCCAAGGTTGCCTGGGCAGCCGGAGGCTAAAGTTCCCAATGGGGACTCGGGAGGGGGTGCAAAGGGGGAACAGTGCTACCCGTCCACGCCGCCTGGGGGCATGGTGGCCCTATCTGGGTCACTGATGGGGGACTCAACCAGATGGCACTGTTTCCTCCCTCCTTGGTGTTTCTGAGCCTCCGCTGGTCATTCATCAGCAGAGAGAATTCTCTGTCAAGAGGGGGAGGTTTCGGGATTCCCCTCTGGTGGTCTTGCCTTTGCAGAACACTGGGTAACTTACCTTGAGTGGAAGACTGAGGTCGAGGAGGTGTCGACGGTGGCCTGGCCGTGGACCCTGTCGCCCCTTCCCCGTCTTGGCGCATATTTGCAGACGGCGATTGGCTCTGCTTTAACCGTCTTCTTCGTTGGTTCTGAAACTAGACCTAGGGGCAAACAGAGAGAATACGTTCTCAAGAGAAAGGCCTCCGGATGCTTTCTGCTGACGCGGATCGGCACGGGGAGACTGAGAGGGAGAATGGGTGGAGAGGGGGGCCCCTACCTGAACTCTACTTTCGGCAATGCCAAGCTCTCGGGCCAGTCGTTCTCTGGTCGCTATCCCAGGGTAGGGGTTCTGTTGAAAGAGCGCTTGCAGGGTGTCCTTCTGGCTCAGCTTCAGAACGAGCCTCCTCCTTCGAGATCCTCTGGCGATGGGGCCTGTGGAAGAGACGAAAGGGAAAAGTCTCAGAGGACGTGGGGTTTGGAGAGGACTCGACGCAAATGCCCAAGCATGCTCCCCACCCAGGGCAGTTGCCCCTGTGCCTCAGCAAAACCGGGAGCCCGGCGACGCCTCTGCATTTGGAAGTCACTTGACTACACCAAGAGTGACTCTCTACAGCAAGAGAGTCAAGGGCAGTGGGGAAATCCCCCAACCCCCCACCCACGCTGGAATCCAAGTAACACGAGCAAGCAGATAGGAAGCCAAACCCGCCCCTGAAACAAAGCTGGCAAGAAATCCCACCCACCAAAGACCAGCACACCATGCAGCCTGTCTGCAGAGACATTTTCCCACCTGCCTGAGCAGATGCCTGGGAAAGGTCTTGATGGGGCCTCTCCCAAAATTCCCTCCATCACAANCTGGCAAGAAATCCCACCCACCAAAGACCAGCACACCATGCAGCCTGTCTGCAGAGACATTTTCCCACCTGCCTGAGCAGATGCCTGGGAAAGGTCTTGATGGGGCCTCTCCCAAAATTCCCTCCATCACAATGCCAATGGAGGGGAACCTGGCTTCTCGGGGCTAAGAGGAGCCCAGGCCATATTTGTCGTCACTAGGGCGAGAGGAAAGGAAAGGGAAGGAAGCCGAAGCGAAGCCCAACATGCAACGCCTGACGGAAGACAGGAGGCCCTAGGCCATTTTGGACAGAAAGCCACTGCACTTGGCCAAGCCACAGAGCTCCCCGACGTCCATTTCCATGGCAAGATGAGGAAATAGGGCCCCATGCCAGTTCCCCTACCGCCCCCCGACCACACAACCAACACCATCATCACAGAAAAGAGAAAGGAGAAGCCATGTGTGTGCCAAGCGAGCCAAACCACCAAACGGTGCCTCTCTGGGCACACCTGACGCCTGGAAACCAGGGGCCCAGCCGATCGGTCCCTGGCTTTCTTGGCGGTCAGTCGACACGTTTGCCGTGAACCCCTGGCTGGGCTATCCACAGATCCCCCCACCACAACCCCCCACCCCCCCGGGACCTGCTCCGACCCCAGGGATCGACGGCAAACGTACCGCCTGAGGTGCTGGAGGAGCTGGACCAAGCCATGGTGGGAGAGCCACAAGAACGCTGCAGACTGCCTTCGCAGTGGGCCAGGGTCAAGGAGCTCGGGACTTTGGATAGGGTGAGGCAGCTCCGCCCCTAATGACGTCAATCGTGGTGGGTGCTTAGTCAGAGGGGACGCCCCTGGCCGCCAAGCAGAGACCCTGGAAAGAATCCCGTGGAGCCAATGGGCTTTCACCGGCACGGCCCGTGACCCAGACCCCCAAGGTCCACGTTGGGCTGGGGGGGGCCCGTTGAGAGTTTTGGTGTGTGGCCCTGCCAGGCAGCAGCTGGAATCTACCCCAGGCTCGGGGGCCCTCCGCAGTTCACAGAGTCTTAACTGTACGGGAATTCCCCTAGGTCCCTTTGAAGTTGCCACCCACGCCCCCTTTCCCAGCCTGCCTTGCCTTCCGAAACACCCTGCCTTTTCCCGCCTTTTCACATTCCACACAGACGTTGGACTCAATGGCCTCCGCCGGCTCCTCCGAAGCATTCCCAGATACTGGACGCCCTCTCCAGTGCCTCCTCCTAGGTCCCTTAAATCCTTGCCTCCCTTTCCCACATTCCTTCCAACCTCCTCGCTGGCCCCCTGGCATCCTTTCCCGACCGTAGTCCCAGTCCACCGCCCTGCCCACACCCACCCCACGCCCACCCCCACCAAATACCCCCAAGTTTTGACTCGCCGGAAACCCAACTCTACTGCAAGAGATGTGATGGGCCAGCGTCTCGAATGGCAACTCCCCCCGCGCCCACCAGCAGTGGCCTGGCTCTGGGGTGGCAGTGAGCATGCACACCACCCGTTCTGTCAGTGGATCCGCAGATTTCCACGGCCACCCCCCCAAGGCCACCCACCGCAGGGGAGCTGGTGCAGACAGTGGGGGGGGAGCCTCCTGCACCGGCCCTGACCTGGGGCGGCAAACCAGGGCCTCGGGCAGCAGGAGGGCCCTCTGGAGACCTCCCCCACCAGGGCTCTGTCCTTCCTCCGCCCTCCCCTCTGAGTGTGGAGCCTGCTCACAAGGATGGACGTGTGGAGGGGGCGCTGGGGCAGGAAGCCCACCCTGCCACCCAGAGCCTGCAGCTTCTGGCCCATGAACATTGCTGGGTTTGTGCTGATTTGTTCCTTGGAGGGCGAGGCACGGGGAAGCTGAGCCCTGCCCCGAGCTGCAGGGCGGGGACAGGGGCATCAGTGAGCTGGGGGCGGGACGGAGGGTCTGATGCTGGGCCCACGACCCCAGGGAAAGGAGCGCGTGGCCGGATTCACATCTGGGGAGAGATCCTGGCCTCCAGCCTGAGGAGGAGACGCATGCCTAAGAAGGCTCCGGGGTGGGGGGCGGGGTGACGGGGTGGGGGGCGGGGTGAGGCTGGGGGGCGGGGGTGGGACGGCTGTTGGGCTCCGCTGAGGGAGGAGAGGAGGCAGGGTGAGATCAGAGAGATTCAGAGTGTGAGGACCCACCGGCCGTCGCGGGGGTCCCCTGGCCGGGGGTGTGGGCAGCCCCTAGGCTGGGAAGGGTCATGGTGGCATGAGAGCTGGCATGAAGCTGAGTTCTGCCAGCCGCCAGGTAAGCCTGGACCGGACCTGCTCCAGCACCTCCAGGAAGAGTGCGCCGTGGATGCCCGAACCCACTCCACACCCCACCTCCAGACTGAGACAATGAAGGGTGCTGTTTAAGCCTCTAAGCCCGGGGCAGCTTGTTACACGGCAGCAGGAGGCTGATACACCTGGCAGAGGGCGAAGGCTGGGAACAAGATCGCCGCCCAGGTGCCCACTGCCGCTGGCCCTGGAGGTCTTATGTGTTTCAGCCAAAGAAGCTTCTCTGGAATGGGGGGGGGGGGCATGTTGTACTTGCTGCTGCGGCTGGGTGTCCAGCATGGCTAGGCATGTGGGCAATGCCCAGCAGAACCTCAGTGAGGAGGAGTCAGCCGACCTGCCTCAGGTCACGGAGCTCGCAGGGAGCAGGATGGGACAAAAATCTAGGGCCCGGATGCAGAGGTTCTTCTGGGAGCCTTTGCTGAGGAAGTTGTTTGTCTCCAGGAAACACTTGGGACTTCGTGAGCTTTTCTTAGAAGGTGTGCCGTTTCTGCCTAGTGCCTCCTCAGATGCGTGCTTCTGGCTGGGGAAGGAGAAAGGGTAATCGGGTGTGTGTGGCAAGGGCACCAGGACCTGGACATCAAGGAGGGCTTCCTGGAGGTGGTGCCCTGCACCGGGGGGAAGCATCTGCTGGGTGAGAAGGGGGACAGGGCAGGGGACATCAGGCAGAGTCAACGGGGCGTCCTCGGGCAGAGTGGTGCGGATGTTCTGGGAAGTCGGGGCGAGGAGCGGTGTGTGTGTGTGTTGTGAGGGGACCGGGGCGCCCTGAGCCTTGCTGGGGCTGTGGGCTCATCCGGAGGTGGAGGTGTTAGCCAGGAAGTGGCCGGAGCCCCTGGCAGACCCCTGGGCTGTCTGGGGGAGAGCCGGGGTCCAGGCCCCGGGCGGCTGTCCACACTTGCCAGGGCCCTGGGTCGGCTGCAGACCTGAGCACCCAGTCTGACTGCGCAGGGCCAGAGCTCACCTGCAGCGCCCAGCCCCGTCCTGCCTGGGGCCCAGCACCCAGTGAGGAGCGGGGGGCCCTGGTGGTGGGTGCCAGCCCCTGACCCTCCGCCCACCCTGCCCACAGTGCTCGTGCCCGGGAGGGACCTGGCCGCGGTTCTGAGGATGTTGCCCATGTTCCACGACGAGGAGCACGCCCGGGCCCGCGGCTTCCCCGAGGACACCCTGGTGCTGCCGTGAGTGGGCGCTCCCCAGGGTCCCTGGCACGGACAATGGCCGGCTGTCACGGGGTGGGGGGAGGGCACCCTGAGACTGGCACCTGCCAGGGCAGCGGACCGGCTGTGGCTTCTCAGGGTGTCCGCAGCGAGCTGCTGGAGGGCGCCGCTCCCACGCCCCCCCACTTTGGTGGCTCTGGAACTGACCGCAGGCCCCTTTAAAGTCCATCAGGACAGGCAGGGGCTGGCCCGAGGGTCCCCCCACCCCCGGGAAGGTCCTGCTTCCCAGGTCGGGGCCCAGGCTGCCTGGTGGTCTTCCCTGGTGGTCGGCGGGGCAGGGGTTGCCCTCCTGGCCACTGATCCGTCCTGGCAGCGACCCTCCTCCTGGGGGTGTCCTGGTTCACTTCCTGCCGTGGAGCAGCCCCTCCCGGGGACCGTGGTCCTTGTTCCTGCAGCCTCAAGCAGAAGGGGGGCTGTGGAGGTGCAGGGCCCGAGGCCACGTTCCTGGGTGCCCGACTGGGTGGAGGGGAAGGGGCCTCCGACGGAGGGGGCGCTGAGTGCGAGCCTGCCCCCCGCCTCCCGCAGGCCGGCCAGCCCCGACCAGAGGGTCGTCTACACGGTGCTGGAGTGCCAGCCGCTCTTTGACTCCAGTGACATGACCATCAGCGAGTGGGTTCAGATTGCCCAGACCATCGAGGTGACCAGGGAGCCTGGGGAGGGCTGGGGGGGTGTGGGCGGAGGGGGTCTGGCGGTGGAGGTGGGGCTGGGAGGAGGCTGATGAGGGGTCACACCTCAGCAGCATGGCTCCCACCACCCTCTCTCCTGCACCCTGGGTTGGGGGGGGGGGCATCAAGGGCCATGTCCCCTTTTCCGGTGAGGAAATGGCCCAGGTGGCCGTCTTACTTTGAACACTTAGCTCTTCCCAGTCTGTGTCCTGGGCGGAGACTGAGACACCTCTCTGCAGACTGACCACCCCACGCCTGGTCCACCCCGCACCCACCCTGGAGTGCAGTCTTAGTGGGTTTAGGGCTCGTGGTTTAGAGCACTGAATGGCCGTCTCTCCTGCAGCCAGAGCCCCTCATCCCCAGCAGTGCCGGCCCCAGCTACTGCCTCCCGGGGTGGGGGCCCTCCCAGCCCATTTCTCACCTTCCCCCCTTAAGAAACCCTGCTCCCGAGAGAGGGGCTTATCACTGAGCCACCCTTTCTGGCAGCTGGGGGCTGGCCCCAGTGGCCCCAGGCCTGGCCCCTGTCTCTGGATGTATGCAGCTGTGTCTGGGGCAGTCTCCTTAGTCTCTGGCCAGCAGCACCCACAGCTGGGGCCTGACAGCTTTTCTGAGCACCTAGGACTGCTATCCAGTTCAGTTCAGTTCAGTCGCTCAGTCGTGTCTGACTCTTTGCAACCCCATGGACTGCAGCATGCCAGGCTTCCCTGTCCATCACCAGCTTGCTCAGACTCAAGTCCATTGAGTCGGTGATACCATCCAACCATCTCATCTTCTGTTGTCCCCTTCTCCTCCTGCCCTCAATCTTTCCCAGCATCAGGGTCTTTTCCAATGACTCAGTTCTTTGCATCAGGTCGCCAAAGTATTGGAGCTTCAGCTTCAGCATCAGTCCTTCCAGTGAATGTTCAGGACTGATTTCCTTGAGGATGGACTGGTTGGCTCTCCTTGCACTCCAAGGGACTCTCAAGAGTTTTCTACCACAGTTCAAAAGCATCAATTCTTTGTCCTGCTGGCCAGCCACGTGCAAATTCGCGGTGTGGCCGGCAGAGGGCGGCCCAGTCCACCACGTGGCTCCGCTTCCCTGCAGCTCTGAGCTCCGCCTGGCTTGGTCTATCAGTGGGCCTCAAGAGAGGTCCCAGGGCCCCATGGTTCCTGGGCTGTGCCCCTCGCAACCACAGCCCAGGCCAACTGCCCCCTGAGGCCGTGGCTGCTCCTGCGGAGGCGGTGGTTGGGGGGTGTCCTTGCAGAGCTGGCCTGCGTGCCAGGGGGCCTTCTGACTCCCTGGAGGGCCGTCCCCGTGCCTGCTGTCCGCACCCTGCCCACCTCCGACCTCTCATCTCCCAGCACAGACTGTGCCTCCTGCCTGTTGCTCCTTTGCATGCCCGGCCCTCCCGCTGGACCGAGTGGCTGGTGGGCTTCCTTGCCCCACGGCCCCTGCTGCCCCCCGGGGCAGTGGTCGTTCAGCAAGGGCTCTCCAGAGCACTGAGCTCGTCCCGGCGCCGTCGTCCAGCTGACGGTGTCCTCAGGAGTCCAGGTCGGGCATCGTGCGGGGAATCTTCCCACCCCGGGACCAAAGTGCCCGTAAACCCCCGCCAAGTTCTCTTGGGGCCGCAGGTGTCCCTGGGAGGCCCCAGGGTCTCCGGGGAGGAGGCTGTCCTGCGAGGGAGCAGAGCACAGGGACAGGGGCTCCATTCCCTGCGGGCCTCCCCGGCTGGCAGTGACCGAGGCCCACCCGCGCGTCCCCGAGTCCACCAGCCGCGTGTGGGGGGCACCAGCGCCTGCCCCCAGGAGCTGGGCCCCTGAGCTGGCCGCCGCCCCTGCAGAGCCGCTACGGGCAGTATGACGGCTTTGTGGTCATCCACGGCACCGACACCATGGCCTTCGCCGCCTCCGTGCTCTCCTTCGTGCTGGAGAACCTGCAGAAAACCGTCATCCTCACCGGGGCCCAGGTACCTCCCCGGGCGCCCGCTGGGCAGAGGCCACAGGGCAGCTGAGAGGGCAGGCGGGTCCCCGGCGCCTGGCCCGGTCCTGCAGGTCCTGGGGCTCTGCTCGGCCAGTGCCCGGTCAGTGCCTGGATCCTGCCCGCTGCCAGCCTGCTGCCCTGCTCTGCCTCCTCTCCGCTGCGCTGGCCCAGGTGGGATGCCCCTGCTGTAACCAGGGCAGATGAGGCGCAGAGGCCAGGCAGCTGGCGCACGTCCACGGGCCTTATGAGCACCCAGGACTGTGGCTCAGCCCAGGGCGGTTCCATTGGAGGCCCTGGGGGACTCTTCCCCAGCCGACCCCTCTGCCCACGCCATGGCAGGCCAGCCCTTTCCCACCTTCCTTGGTAGGGGTGGGGGAGCTGGGTGCGGGTCAGTCACTGCTGGGGCATCAGCCCAGGTCTGTGACCTTGCACTCGGAGGCCCCGCCTGAAGCTCCTTGCCCTCCCTCGCACCTGCGGTCGGCCCCGGCTCCCCTCTGCCTGCCCAACCCAGGCACAGGCTTGGGCAGCATGACAGCAGGGCCTCGCTGCCCTGGGGGCCAGGGAGCTGGGCTGGGCAGCGATGGGTCCCTGGGTGTCGTGTGCTCCCCGCAGCGTGAGGACTGGCCGGCACCCGGCAGGGGGCCCTGGCATCTGGGGGGAGCAGAGGGGGCCGGGGCCCGGGCCGGAGGAGCGCGGTCAGCAGGGGCGGGCCCCCAGCGGCAGCGTCCACCGGCTTGAGCTGCCCCCGCCTCTCCCCAGGTGCCCATCCACGCCCTGTGGAACGACGGCCGGGAGAACCTGCTGGGCGCCCTGCTGCTGGCCGGCCAGTATGTGATCCCCGAGGTACCGCCTCCTCTTGCGGGCGGGGCTGGGTCTGGGCTCCAGCGCCGCGTGGGGGCGGGCGCCTGCCTGCCGGGGGGACGCAGGTGAGGGGGCCGGCTGCGTTAAAGCGCAGTCTTTTACCTTGAAGGTGACCTACACCCTCACCGTAGAGAAAATGGGAAAGCAGCAGGCAGCGGGAGCCTGTGCCCGCGTCCCACCCCAGACACCTGCGGCTGGCGGTGCGGGCGCACAGAGACATTTCCCA